TCTCTCTCTCTCTCTCTCTCTCTTTTTCCCTTTCTTCCGCTGCTGCTCCTAATTAATCAAAGAATAATCCGACTCGTACTTTGTTTCACAGTTTTGGGCTGCTTACGTGCCGTGCGAGTCGCAGCATCTCAACGCGGTCCAGCTGACTCTGGAGCAGGTGGACCTCATTAAGAGGCTCATAGAGAAGTACTCGCAACACATGCAGTTCGCTGCGTCTTCAACGGGTGGGTATCTTTTACGATTATCCGAAACAAGCTTAATTCTACCGCGCACTGACTGTCCCGCATTTCGCGAGGGAAGACGTGTGGGAAACACAAGGCGAGTAGAAAAAGATGAAAGAAACGCAGAGTTAAGAGATTATGTATTTTACAATTCCACTCCGCGTTGTGTTTAATATTCTACCTCTTTGCTAGTTCTTTGTTTTCTTCGCCAGTGACGGTGAAACGCGAAACTAGGAAAGGAAGAGAACGAAGTGATTACTAACATTATAAGAGACATTTAAATTGATTTGAATTTTCTACAGATTTCTACATCAGATTTCGACTTCATTTTTTCAGAGATTCTGGATGCTCACGAAAGAGGCAGGATAGCTTCGCTGATCGGGGTGGAGGGTGGACATAGTCTAGGAAGTAGTTTAGCCGTATTAAGAACACTGTATCAGTTGGGCGTACGGTATCTCACACTCACGCACACTTGTAACACACCGTGGGCGAAAAGTTCGTCGGTAGAGGACGAGGACGAGGATGGTGAGTGATACAAAGTGAATCATCCATTATGGATATTTATATGTGTGATTCGTTTTCCCATGGGAATAATTTAAAAAAAAAAGAAATGAAAAAGAAGAAAAAAACATGAAAACCAGATATTTGATGGAAATTTGAATGTTAGTGTTAGAAAAATCACAACTACGTGTGGAAGAGTGGAATTGAATTCTATATGTTTTCAACACATTGGTAAATGTTCCAAGCTTCTGTCTGTCAGGGGAATAAATGTTTCAGCAGTGAGTAAAGAGAGGGAAAGAGTGAAGTTCTCGTTTGCTTTAGGAGGCGGTCTAACGGCATTCGGAAAAGCAGTAGTTCAGGAAATGAATAGGCTGGGAATGTTGATAGACCTTAGTCATACAGCGAGGGCAACCATGAGGGACGCTTTAAGGGCCAGTAAAGCGCCCGTCATTTTTTCTCATTCGTCGGCCTTCGCCATTTGTAATTCCTCGAGGAACGTTCCCGACGACATTTTGAAGCAGCTGGTAAGTATGAACCGCATTATATCAACATATTTTATCCATCGTCGTTTTAATTTCGTTTAAATTAATTGTGAAAATTAATTGAATCGGTAAAAAAGAAATTAATCGAGTTACAGTAGAAATTACTCGAACGAAAGTTAAATTGAAGTTTCGTAAAAGTAGGATACGTAAGCTTTAATATTAGATTAAAGAGAAGCGGGCGGGAAGTCTGGAAATTTCATTAGAACATAAAACACATGCGTGCTTTGTGAAATGTTTTTAAGATAAAATTCATGTCCGAGGCAGAAAGGGAGAAGGAAAAGTGGCGGTTTTCGCACTTTTCTTCTCCGAGTAGCTCGTTCTTCTTCCTCCACGGAGGATAGATGATTATCTCTGGGCTTTCAGTGACACAAAACACTTACCACTGGCTATTGTTGGGTTTTCTGCTCCATTATAGGGAACCTCCTCGCGTCCTTTCGTTAAAAGACAAATTAACAGGGCGAGAAATTAACGGATTTATCTGTTTCCCATTGGCTTCGCACCTTCTTACAATTCCGCAATTCTCTTCCACTCGAATGGGAGACTTTTCTCTTCGCCTAACTAGAATTCTACGCTGCATAACGATAAAACTGTCGAAGAACTTTTCATGTTTTATGCGTTAGCGAGACAAGAAACAAAGTACACGATGTTTGATCTCTTGGTACTGAAAAACTACTTGCTCTTTTAAAAAAGTCGTATTCACCGGGAAGAGAGGAAAAAAAAATAGAGAAATAATTTGTTCGTAAGTTTCGTAAATATAGAGATAGGACAGAATATTTTACTTTACACAAAATTGTATTCACGGTACGGTAAAATGAAATTGAAATTCTTGGAAGTATCTCTTCAGTACTTTGTCACAGTTCTTTGGTTTTACAGTTATGAAAGAAAGTAGTAGTAGAAATTCTTGAAAGATGTAACGTGATACATTTTATCGAAAAATAAAACGATAAAACTGTCGAAGAACTTTTCATGTTTTATGCGTTAGCAAGACAAGAAACAAAGTACACGATGTTTGATCTCCTGATACTGAAAAACAACTTGTTCTTTTAAAAAAGTCGTATTCACCGGAAAGAGAGGAAAAAAAAATAGAGAAATAATTTGTTCGTAAGTTTCGTAAATATAGAGATAGGACAGAATATTTTACTTTACACAAAATTGTATTCACGGTACGGTAAAATGAAATTGAAATTCTTGGAAGTATCTCTTCAGTACTTTGTCACAGTTCTTTGGTTTTACAGTTATGAAAGAAAGTAGTAGTAGAAATTCTTGAAAGATGTAACGTGATACATTTTATCGAAAAATAATGTGCATACAATACAAGATAAATAGGAGCATTAGAAAATTTACTAAATTCAGTTTGCCACGCTGTTGAGAAACCAACCTCAGAACAAAATCTAGATAAACAATTAAAGGAGAATCCAAGGATCAACTCTGGACAAACAATTAAGGGAGAATCCAAGGATCAACTCTAGACAAACAATTGAGGGAGAAGTTCTTCGATGAAATATTAACGAACATCGGAAACGGAAAGGGGGAACGTACGATCCAGAGGAAATGTGGTTACGCGAGAACATTGCAGTAGATTTTCGTCGAGGAACACGCCGCAGTAGTTGCGGTCAGAAACTGCGGTTAACACAGGGCGCAATTAAGATCTGAGACTTCGAGTAAAGTAATCCAATTTTTCATCGATCAGACGAAAGTCGCCAGAAAAAATTCGCTTCGTTTCTTCTTCGAATCTCGTCCAGTGTTTTCCAAAGATTTCCATTATGCTTTCGATTATAAATTAGATTGCCAGGTGTTGGCAATAATTTTTAACGCGGTAAATTAAAATTCTATTTCTAGGCTGCTAACGGCGGACTGGTGATGGTGACGTTTTATAATTACTTCGTGAAATGTGGCTCTCAGGCAACCGTCTCCGACGTCGCTGAGCATATTTACTACATTAGAAACCTAATTGGCGTGGACCATATTGGTGTCGGTGGCGACTTCGATGGTATTAACAAGTACGTATATTCTTTTTCTTTTTTTTTTTTTCTTTCTTTAAAAAAATATCCTGCACAAATCCATCTGTATAAATACACAGTGACAAATGAACAAACACTTTGAGAAATTTTCCAACGAGCCAATACCTACAATAATTATTGTAAATCTTGAAACTTTTTGGACATTACTAGTTCATTAATAGTAAAAAGCAATAAATATAAATATAGATGATTATTTAATACTGGCATTAATATAGTAAAATAATTGATATGAAATTAATGTAAAACAATAATGAAATTAATATACAATAATAATGAAATAATTAATGTGATAAAAGTGTTTCATATCACCGAGTAAGATACGTACATTTCCAAAGAATAATTACTCTTTGTAAAAAAAAGAGTGTAAAAATGTTAAAATAATTTTCCAGTTAAGATGAACACAAAGCATAGCTCATTCACATGAATAAATAACAAAGTCGTTATAATATTCGAATATCGGGAGCATCGTGTGTCCCGATCCAATTTAGTCTGTAAGTTTAATCAAGAGAGTAGGAGAAGACTCTAATTAACCTTCTCAATGCGGCAGCGTTGGTCGAAAAGATTTATGGTCACGAAGGTGCGGCAACGTAAACCTTCCTGTGAACACATTTACCGGCTCGCATCGTATTATTCACTCGTGTCTATACAAGTTATTGTAAACCGATGAACGAAGAATTAACGACACGCTGTAAATCTAATTACAAAACCATGAACTTTTCCTTTTTCCTTTGGCGATATTCTGTTACGCGATGGAGACTTCGCGGCTTGTTATACTGATTTATCGATCATCGAGAAGAGAAAGGAGAAAATACAGCAAGAAGTGCACATCTGAAAAGAATTACGTGTTGGTTAACTCATTTGAATTCATAGCGGCAGAGATAAACCGTAATTTAATGCGGTTGGATGTAAATCTTGATGATCAACGTAATGTATTCCTGGATATAAACTGATGGACATTGTTTAAACAAATGTTCGTTTTATTTGTTTTACACATCGAATTAGTAACTGTCAATGATTAGTTAGAATCGAGATTTACTTACATATAGAGAGAAAACAGATTTCTCTGAATGATTGATTATAGGTAAGCGATAAAATAGGTCGTTTTGCGTGTGTAAACATATTCTTGATAATCGAAGTTTCTTACTTTGAATTACTGAATTTTCCAAGAGAAGGAAATAATTGTATCGATTTTCTGTACTTTTTTCGTTGGAGATTAAAAATCAATCAGCGAAAGGCTAGCTATTTTCCAATTTAATCAAACTCGTGCTTGACACAACGAACCGATTCTGTTGACAGAACACCCAGAGGACTCGAGGATGTCTCGAAGTATCCGGAACTGTTCGCCGAACTTCTCCGAAGTGGGAAATGGAACGTGCACGATTTGAAGAAAGTTGCCGGCCTGAACCTGCTGAGAGTCCTTCAAAAGGTTGGAACCCGTTCAAAATCTAAATTCGAATCTTTCTAGCCAGCTAGCATCCCAAGCATACCAATTTTTCTTTATACGAACCGTAGGAAAGCGAGATAGACCTTAGAACACCAGTCGATCGTTAAATGATCGTTTAAAAAAAGGAAAAGAAAAAAGTTCTCAGAAATGTAAGAACATCATCAATCAGATAATGCTTTCCTTCCAAAACAAACAAAAAAATTTTTCCTCGAAGAGAAAGTATTTAGACAAATAGAAATATTTTTATCTTACAAGAGATTGGAACAAAGTTAACTTTTTTTTTTTTTTTAAACTTTTT